ATGGAACCGGTTTAAAACTTGGTTTTTTGATACTTATAGTAAAGATGATTTAAATAATATTTCGCAAGAGTTTTATGAAACTTGTGCTTTACATAATCAAATTATATATTTTGTTTCTTGGTTTATAACCACTTATTTACCGCTATATATAAAGGTTTTAGAAAGATGATTTAATAATAATAAAAGTTTTCCCAAATTCCTCCACATCAGAGCATAAGGTTAGTCTTGTATCACACATTTCAAAACAAAAGTTGCAGAAAGATCTTTGTTTGATTTATATGTAATGAATTGGAAGTTATCCAAAAAGGAACCAAAACCAATCAAGAAAATTTTACCTAGCAGTAATACCGTTTTTAAACGAATTCTAATTACCTAAGCTGAAACAAATTGTAATTGAAAGTCTCGAGTTTTTTTTTTTGCCAAATATACATTCCTCACAATTTTCCAGAATATTCCAGGTCAGTGAAAGTTCCAGGAAATACAGATCTGAAAAGTGAAACACACGAAAATAATATAACTACCTAAACTGAGCAGGAAAATGAACTTAACTCGGCTTTCAGGGAGTGGATACAATAAAATTTACCTTAACATGAGTTTCTTTGAACTATCTCATTTTTTCAGCATCAGACCAACATCATACGACTTTCACGAACAGCTACGCTAACAAAATTTGAGCTTTTAGCATGATTTGCCACAGCGAATTTGAGTATCATGATTTGGACATTTCCGAAGTCAAATGATGGATTACTTCAATCACAGATAGACAATAAAACCAGTGTCTCAAAATTACATGGTTTCCCATCTCTCTGTCTTCTCCAATCCATCTACGCAGAAGATTTACCACTTTGCAGCAGGAGAGGTTCTTTCATCTCCAAGCACCGAAATTAATAGATTGAAGTGAAATGTGTCCGAGAAGAAGATCCTTCAGATGATGTTTACACAACCCAAGTCGCCTTCTATGTAAACTGGGATGGATACAACTAGAAAATCCAGTCTTCCAACCAGGGAACCTTTGTCTTTCCATCACGTGAAGAGTGTATACACGAGGAGCTGCAGCCATGCATCCTATAACGAAGCAATTGCAAGGACGTGTGTGACTCACCATTCTTGCCAAAGAGAATAAACATAGTCCACTGTATGCTATTCCATACATTAAGGCATCATCATCAAAAGCTTCAGAATTTGTTGCTTCATTGGTTATCTCAAGCTCAATATCTTCAGTTGCAGGAATTCTGCTTAATTCAAAATCAAATTTCTTCTCTATCTCAGTCTCATGTATTCTATACTTTATTGCCAGAGTTCTGATGCAAGACATCCTTAGTTGATTACAAATAGTGAGCTTTACCTCATTAAAGTTGTCACACTCAGCATACCATCTCAGCCACCGGCATATTAAACCTGAATACCAGTCAATGATTTCATTGTCATCCCAAAAAACTAGCAGATGACATGGCCGAGGATATCCTTCAGAATTTGTCAACCCATATCGAAAAAGTCGCTTCCTTATGATGCTGATTGGAGCTATGATCTGCGTCACTAATGTTGAAGAGTTGGAGTTTGGCAACAGTTCAAGAGTAGAAGCTGTTTCAGAAGATATATATTCCTGAACACGCTTCTGAAACTCATAGTACGAATCTCTTAAATCTTGAGGGAGAGCTGGTTCGACAATATGCTTAGATAATATAACATCCTCATTCCTGTCGCATTTAACATTTTTATTTTGCATCCAAACTTTTAGTAAGACTTTGTACCAATGATCAGTTTCCATCCCATCTTTTCTAAAACACGAGATTTGGCTCAAAAGGGAGCTACCATCAGAGAGATGCTTAATCTCCGATTCTTTTACTTTCTTCAGACCATGAGCCAGCCATTTCTTGCCAATTCTTGCTGTCCCGATATTCCACGAGTGCTCTTTCTGCAAAGAAAATAATGTTACCTTTTCCTTCAATTTGTGAACAGCCTTTACAGCCGGACTCTCTTTCAGGCTTCTTTTAACCACACTTCCCAAAAAGCGAATGCCAGTAGGCCCATCACATGGAAAAACATCTATTTCATTTTCAAATTCTAAATGAAGAGAATTCTTAAAGTAATTTTCAGTTTCAGACTTAATGGCAACAGCCACCTCTTTGGGACCAGAGATGGCAATAAGAATCTCATCCATGAAGCGGCAACAATGCACCCTAATTCCAGAGTTGCCCATACCATTGCATTCTTGAGAACCATTACCAGATATCTGTCTCCTAAACCAACTGCGTAGCATGGAGTTGGCCAGACCTTCCTCAGCGCTTGATCCTTTATCAATAGCTTCATATCTCATTGACAACCTGTACATTTCATGGTCAAAGAGGTCAAGATATATGTTCATTAAAATTGGAGACAACACTCCTTCTTGCGGGAGACCATGTCCTTTTGGAAAACCACCAAATTCTAAGTTCAATACCCCACAGTCAAACATACTACACAGTAATGCATATAGGAAAGGATCATCTATCTTATCTTCCATGACTGAAAAGAGCTTACCTAGGATACGATCGTCAAGCTTTTTGCAAACTGGCAGGGTGAACCACCACTTGGGATTAATTATCTCTTTGCGAATGTATTTAAGAGCAGATAAATGGCTCCTTCCACTACGGCAACCATGTGATATCTTCGAAAAATGAGGTCGGTAGACAACTTCTAATACAATTCTGATTGCTTCCTCAACAACTTTGAGTTTTACATTTGGAAAAACAAGGACTTCTTTCTTTGAGCCCCTTGTTGAGATTGAATATGTGTTAGCACTCACATCAAAATTCCCACAAGAAAGCTCTTCAGCCATGGCTTCAAAAGGCAAATTCTCAATATCTGATGCTAGATCAACATTGGAACTCAACCGCATACTATCAAAAGCATCACAAAGTGTTTTTGGATTGGCAATCACTTTCTTTATGAGGTTCTGAAACTTCCCATTTACATACTGTTCCTTAACTCTCTTTTTTATGCGTAGTTCAAGTAATCTTTTATGTTCCACCCGATTCACGGGTTTACTTTCATCAAGATTATAAGACTCTTCCACCAAGCTGGCTAAGTTCTGCGCCAATGACACTCCATGTTTCTTCTCCTCAACATCAATTGACTTCTCAACCATAGGCACCAAGTTCTTAGATACTTTGGGATTATTATTCTTCTCCATGTTCAAACATTCTTGAACCAAACCGGCTAGGTCCTGAGCTAGTTTTACTTTGCCAATCTTCTCATAGCGACTGTGACAGCCAACTTGATTAACAGTAGTATAAAGTGAATCACCAAGAGATATTACAACAGGCCTCCCTGTCACGTTTAACCAAGTATTAAAAACAAATGAATTTTCCTTACAATTCCAGCACCGAGGCAACATAAATGTGCTTCAATTCTATAAATTAAAAAAAATTCATAAAAGAAAGGAACTACTTCAGACATATAGGTGTGTCTGGTATAGCGGTAAGAAAATATTTTTCATGAAAAAATTATTTACCATTGTTTGGTAATTCAGCCAAAAGGGAAAAAATGATTTCCTTCAGCAACGGGCAAAGTCATTTCCTTTCCAAATATCCAACTTTTATCCATATTACTTGTTTCAACAAACACCTAGACACTGATTTCAATCTTTAGCCCCCAAAAGAATGTCACCAAAATACTTATCATATACCTATGCCCCAAATCCTCCATCTTGTATGATTACCATATATCACCTACTTTATACATTATACCCAACCAGAAACTAGAAAATAAGACATTTTCCAGAAAACATTTTACTTAATACTGAAAAAACTTGCAGTAAAATTTTGAATAAGAAATCAAATAAATTGGAAAAAAGCATTTATTACCAATAACAGCAGCAGTAGAGGAAGAATTGGGGGCGAGAAAGTGCAGTCTTCTGAAAAGTGAAGTACATTTATGCACCATATTATGATCATTACCAGCCAACAAATTGCTGTTCAGTTTGCTATCCTTCTCATTTCCATTAAACAAATTGCTGTTCAAAGGAACGAAAGATGCTAATTTTAGATTAATTATGAGACCTAAAGCCCTTCAGAGGAAGCTAAGAAGATGCAGTGCGCAGTAAGAGTGAAAAACCAAGAAGAAAGAGGAAGGGAAACCTTGTTTTTTTATGACGTAAGAGAAAGAATAAAGAATTACTGGATTGACTTTTTATTGCACTAGCAATTTATATTATTTGTATTTTGATATTCACTATAAAAAGGGGAAAATAGGCCACAAATTACCCCTAAATTATTTGAAATGGAATAATTTTATTCTAACAATTGATCCATTCGAATATAAATATAGTTAAAACAAAAGAAAATGCTCAAAAATATTCATAAACTATTGGAAGCGGTATTTTGTTACTTATCTTGCCTAACAAAAAAGCAACTCAAAAGGAATCTTTATTTTAAGAAAAAAAGTAAAAATAACTAACTATATGAGATGAGATAATTATACCAATAATTATTTTTGGTCCAAATATGCCTTTGCAATAGTGAGCATGAGATTTTTGAGTCACTTGACTAGTGACGATAGCACTCCTAAAAAAATAGATGGAGGGCAAAATTATCAATTTTCAATAATTCAGGCAAATTTGACCTTTTTTCTAAATAATGAATGTTTAGAGTATGAGTAATTGACTATTTTAATTTTTCAAAAATATTTTGAAGAATCGAGGCATACCGAGTTATGTGATCAAGCGTCTCCCCACGTCTACGGATAAACCACGTCAGTTCCCCTGCTAGTCCATAAACTGCACCACCATTTTGATTTCCCACAATTTCTTCCTCTTTTCCTCCAAAACACTCAAACTTGAATTTTCTCACTAATTTTTTTTCTCTTATTCTTCGTTCGACGCTGATGTCGTTGAAGCTCCAGCATCAGTATCCTCCTTGCTCTAGGTAATTTATGCTGTTTGTATCTGCCTCAGTTTTCTATAGCTGTTTATTATTATTATTATCATATCTTAATAATTGAAATACTCGCTGAATCGCATAATTCATGACCGTTTTTTCTGGTAAAAGAGTAATGAGAATTTAGTTGAATTTATAGCTGAAACATGGTATTAATGGCTATTGTAGTGCTTAAACAAATGGAAAAGCTGGAATTGTAAATCAATTTGTAGGATTTTTCTATGCTAAACCTAAATTGTTATGAAGATTGTGGCTACGAAGTGCTCCGTTCAGCCATAAATTCTGCCAGGAATTATGAACCAAAATTCATCAATTTTACTTCCTGTCTTGCTGTACAGTTGGATGTGCAGGGGCGGATGCAGCTTTGTAGTTCACCTGAACCCAATACTAAGTATAAATTTTTGTGTAAAAATTCATTAAAATTGTAATAAATAGAATATATGAACCCATAACTTTAAAAATAAAATGTTAAGAACCTTAAAGCCTGAACCCATAGAGTTTTAATCCTGAATCGCTTCTGGTTGGATGGTGATGAAAACTTACTATTTGTGATGGTGATGCTGTGCTGGAGAAGTTTTTTGAGTCACCTGATATGATAGGGGCTAATTTTTAAGGGCCTTTGTGTGTGAATAGTATGGAAGTGTTTCGTTGTAAAGCAGGCATTTAAGATTGAAAACACTTCCTCTTTCATTTAGTTATAGGAATACTTGGATCTGTTGCTCACTCCAATTATGAGCTAATAACGAGCTTAGGAATAAGCAAAGGTGATTCATAACAGTCTACTAATAAGCACCACATTTCGAATATTAGGGCTTTGGTTCAATGGCAAAGGTAGTACAACGGTGAATATGTGCTTTGCACATGTCACGGGCTTGAATCCTGATCGGTGAACCAAGTTTGTTATTTAAGTGGAGTAGAATAGAGGGCATGATGCATTATCTACCGAGTTTCGAAGTTGGAAACTATGGATTTCTCGGTTATCAAGAAAAAAGAAAGAAAAGAAAGTCAACCAGTAAGCACCACACCATGACATGGATTGTTCTTTACTTCATCCCCAAAACCTTCACATCTGCTATTCCTAATTTGGATCGTGGCTAGTATTTACTAGCTACTTCTGGCACTTCCCTGTATTAATGTTTCTGGAAATAGTAATGTTGAAATAGTGACATCTTGAATGACGGGATTAATGTTGAAGTTTCAGCCATTTATCCAGAATGACATCTTGACTTGTAATGTCCTGACATTGACAAAGAGATCTGATGATTAATACATTGATCTGAAAAGTGAAGATTCATACACTGATCTGAAAGACTGTGTCGTAAATAGATACAGAGGATTACTGATCACTGATTTAGTACATGTTTAGCAGAGAAAGTCCTTGTCTAGTTAATCATTCTTATACTACTTAAATTTGAGTTTCCACAATATCTTAGATCCATTGGATCTTTCAATATTAATTTCTTCTTAAAGTTACATTAACTTTTGGCTGATTGTGCTCTTTTATTTCAGTTCTTTTAGTTCATGGCCTTCAGTTAAAGCAGTGAGAAACTATTATTTCAACAGGAAAGTAGTAGGATTGGATCACCTGATATACAATCAATGCAATACAAGGAGAAGATGCCAAACAAAACTTTATTTGTTACAGGGTGGAAATCGTGATCTTAACCGCACATCACCCGATTCTAGGAAACATAGGATTACTCCTCGAACATCAAGAATACTACACCTATTGCCTTTTGCTTCTGCTGAGGATGGGGTGTCAGTTAATGGCAGTCCCGGACCATCTACTAGCAGTGATATGGAGGAAATGAGACTAAAACTAGATCTATCTATGCAAGGTGAAGAGATCGGTTCTGGACTTGTCCAGTCACTGCATGATGCTGCTAGAGTAATAGAGTTGGGAATTAGACAACAAGGCTCATTATCCAGGGTATCGTGGTTTTCAACTGCCTGGTTGGGCGGTGATAGAACTGCGTGGATCAAGGTGTTATCTTATCAGGTTGGTAACTTTATACTCTTCATTTTTCTACTGCTTGCTCATTTTTTTAGTGTTTAGATGCATAGGGCGCTGTGCAACCAGTACTTGAGGCATTAATATAAATGCACAAGAAGTAAATACTCTCATGTCATTCTTTAGGTTTCGTATGTGTGAAAAATTAAGTAATGATAGTTGTAGATCTATGCAAGTTTGGGTATGCATTTCTAGTTTGCTAAGAATGTTAGAAAAAAGAATTGGCGGTGAATAGTATGCTTGTCGTTTTTAAACCTGTTCTCTTTTTTCTTTTCTTTTTTGAAAGTAAAGAAAGATTCCATTCTACTAACATCTCAATTTGTTCTTTCCCCCTTACAATCTTTTAATAGTGAAGATTCTAATAGACACTTTAAAAATACTTTCCATGGAATTTTGGTTTCTGCGCTGTCGAAAGTTTATAATTCTGTTCATTATCAGTAGTTTTATGTTGAGATTTCATTTTTGCACTGTATGATGTTATTTTCCAATGTGGTTTCATTGTATCCTTTTTTCAGGCATCTGTATATTCTCTACTGCAAGCAGCAAATGAGATTTCATCTCGAGGAGATGAAAGAGATAATGATATCAACATTTTCACGCAGAGAAGGTAATTCATTGTACTTTAATGGAATAGGTAAAAACTCTGTACCAAGAGTGAGAAACATAACCTTCTGCTGTCGCATCTTACTAGTGATATATGGTTGATGATTTTGACTACATATAGGTTATAGGATGTATTTGGTGCATTGGAAAATAGTTTTCTGATTTTTCTGCATTTGGTCACTTTAAATTGTGAAAAATATCTTTTCAAGTTAGGTATTTTCCAACAAAAGGAGGAAAATCACTTCGGTCATGTATGGACGGAAGTCTTTTTCCTTTACAAATATCTCAACTCTCACTTCATATCACTTGTTCCGATCACCATTTATGCATTGTTATCAGCCTTTAATTCTCAAATATATCAATAGAACACTGTCATCATACCCTATTTCTTGTACTATTATCATAAGTCACTTCCTTTTATATCCAACTAAATATTAGAAATGGTCCAGAATAATTTCCTAAGGTATAGCATTTTCTATGGATAATATTTTTGATGAAAAACATTTTCCTTCATAAAAGGCACCCCCATTTTCTTATTTGTTTGCAAGGTAGAAGTATTAATATGCATTGTTGGAACTCTAGACATTGCTAACAGATTTGATTTATAAGAAAGTTAGTATCTATCCTAAAAACATTGTCATACTTTCCCCTTTTAGTTTTCTGAAAATGTTGTTCATTTTCAGTAATTGGAACCCTTTTCATGTCATTTTGGCCAATATTGTCCCTTATCTCTGAGGGTAGGTCTATTTTGGTCCCTCAAATATAGCCCTGAGCATATTTAGTCCCTTAAGTATG